CAGAACTGGAAGTTATTTACTGTTGATTCTGTTGATTGATTTTACAGTTTGAATATATGATAATACCTTATTGATTGATTTTATAATTTAAATGCATGTATTGCTTGCCTTATGTGATTGCGGTAGAATTGAAAAACTGGAAATTAAAGGTAAACGGAAAATTGTTTGATCAAGTGAACGGATGAAATAGTAGCCTTACTGAATATAATGGGAGATGGTGGACAGACCGGGTACATAGAGAACCCTACCATGAACGTTGCCTCATACCGGACGGGTTATCGAAGTTTGGTAATTTAGCGCTTATACCAGACGTGGTATGGATACGACCCATTAATTAGAAATGTTAAAGTAAAGGGTTCACGCATGGTGGGGACATCCCTATGGACCCTCATAGATACCAGTAGCCTGGTAAAATAGAAAATTGTTGTTCCAACCGATTTCATATAAAATTATGATATGTGTTATATTATTGACTCTATAAGTTGTTATTGTAAATCTCGCTACAGTAAGTAGGCGGTAAATGATTTTAGTTATGATAAACGAATTTACTTAATTAAGAGCTCAATTAGTTATTTTTATAATTTCTACCAACCTTTATTTCTATATCGGTGAGTAGCGTGGTACTCTTACTAGGCTAGTGTAGCTCACTCTTTCATTAACCATTTCAAATAAAGAGGATCAGGATCCAAAGCCCAATCCACAAGAGGGTTACGAGTAGGACGATCAGTTTGCTTATTTTTAATTTTTTTCTTCAGTTAGTAGTTGTTCTTTTAGAAGAGTTATTCTCGTAAGCTTTATTTGGTACTTTCAGTAATTCTATATAGACTGTAAACTCTAATTATTTATTTCACTTCCGCACTAAATTTATAATTTCTCCTTTAGAGTTCTGGGATCGTTACAATTGGTATCAGAGTTGCGTTCCTCGGAACCATTCCTTACACAAAAATCCTTAGGAAATACAAAAAATAATAAATTATTACTCAACCGTTCCTTGTGAAATGTAGGTACATATAGATGAAGAGAGGAAGACCCCCACTAACCGAGCAATCTAGGAGGGTTTGTTTTGAGAGGATGTTGACCAGCTATTTGAGATGCTGGAGAGACTCATCACTGCCCAACAGGCATGGGAGGAAAGGAGGGAGCTACCTGACCCTCCCCCACTACCACAGGCTGAGCCACCCCTGCAGCGGGATGATCCCGAGCCACCCTAGTACGACCCTGCTCCTCTACAGTACCACTCGGCACCACCACCACAGTATGATATGGTGCCCCAATTATAGTACCACTCGGCACTACCACAGTATGCCCCAGTGCCCTAACTGAATCACCCGGCACCACTGCAATACAATATGGTGCCTCCACCGTGTCATCCAGTACCACTGCAGGACCATCAAGTCCATCTTAATCTATTTTTGCTAGGGGATCCTTCTTTAAAGTGGCCAAATACTTCTTAACTGAGACAGAGAAAGCCTTTACGACTCTTGGGGTGATTTCCGAATAGAGAGTCATCCTTGCTACCTATATACTAGTGGGAGAAGCAGGCCGCTAGTGGCAACTTAAGCAGGCCACCTTGCCCGTTCCAGTCACTTGGGAATAGTTCCTGACGGCCTTTAGTGCAGAATATCTTTCAGAGTATCTCCGATATCTAAAGGAGATGGAGTTTACACACTTGGTCCAGGGGGACATAACTGTATTAGAACATGTTCAGAAGTTCCTAGAGTTGGGCCAGTATTCCCCTGAGAGCATGATGGTGAAGGCAGAAAGGTAAGAAAGTTCGAGTGGGGTCTCCATCCTGAGATCAGATAACAGTTGTATGTGTTCGAGCTCAGTACTTACTCGGTTGTTCTGGCTAAGGCACAGTTAGTGGAGATGAACATTCGAATTTTTTCTATAGCAGTAGGGAACCTCAGGCCCTCGGTTCCACACCACAGACCAGTTCTTACTGCATCTGTTCAACAAAACAAGATATTCAGGTCGATGACTCAGGCTCCTTCTCAGATTCCAACAACAGGATGCGGAATGACATGTCAGCACTGTGGTAAGATTCATGAGAACCGACCCTACTATCGCCTCAACAACACTTGCTGCATATGCGATAGTGCCCAACATTATATAAGGGAGTGCCCGAGGAACCAGAATCAGGCCAGACCTCCTATTCAGGGCAGGGCTTATAACCTTACTCAGCAAGATACAGAAGCCAATTTAAACTTGATACAGGATATGTACACTATCTGTAATCATCTTACACATTTTTTGGTTGATACTGGTGTCTCACATTCATTTGTTTTATATGTTTTTACATCAAAATTAAATGTATTACATGAAAGATTTGATTCTGTGTTGTTTGTGTCTACTTCTAAGAGTAGGACACTACTGGGAGAGGTTATATACAAAGCCTATGTAATAGATATAGCAGATAGAAAATTGAGTGTGGACCTAATAGAAATTGATACGGGAGACTTTGATGTAATTTTAGGAATGAACTAGCTAGCGGCGTATCACGCTGCTGTAGATTGTTTTCATAAGGATGTTGTATTTAACCCTCCTAATGATGAGTCATTTACAAACTAATAAAATTCTATAATATTTGTTCCCTCATGGTAAACTTTCTACTA